GCATCTGCCGTGGAAATATATATATATATATTATGATTTATCATATAGCTTGCATGGAGACCTTTTTCGTCGTGAAGTTGCAAAGGGTTGTTTTAGCATTATAGTTGAAATCATAACGGATTTAAAAATCCGTCGTTGTACCAGGGTGCCAAATAAGGCTGGACATAAGGTAATAAGTGAGTGGCTTTGTGTGTGTGTGCAAGTGCGTAACTAGCATGTTATGCACGATCCAATCTTAAAGGGCAAATAGTATGCCAACCCTGTATTCCCACTAGTCGCTAGAACAATAATTATTACTTACATGGAAATACATAAACAAGTGCTTTGGAAAAGCTGGGCTCGGCTTCTAGAAGGAGAGGTGAAATGGAAGTGTGTTTAAGTTTACGTGATTGTTCGCAGGAGGGAAACCAAAGTACCCAAAAGATAGTCTCTACCAGACTCCTTTGCAGGCTGAATAAATAGTAGAAATCGGCAAAGGCGGAAATCATTGGCCAGAGGATTTGGCCGGCCATAGAGGGTCCAGCTTGCCTGCAAGGGTCCAGCTTGCCGATTTCTACTATTTATTCAGCCTGCAAAGGAGTCTGGTAGAGACTACCTAAAAGAAGGCAGTATATATAGTATTGAAAAAATGTAACATTAAACAATGAGTGTTTAATCGGAGTAATGTTACATTCTTACAGAGCAGTGCCTCAAGTAGTATGTCACTTTGTTACCATGTAAACAAGGTTCAAGTCTTATAAGAAATGTTACACATATATGAAGTTATATATACTCTCCTCACCTCTCGAATAAAAGTACCCCCCTGGAATAAAAGTAACCCCCCCCCGGACAAATCTTCAAAATCTAATAAAAAGTACCCCCTGGAATAAAGTAACCACCGGAAATTTAAAAATGTAAGCAACGTCTATGCTCAAAAATGTGTTCTCATTAACAACCTGTATTCTTACAGGTTTTTTCGGAATTCTTGTTGCTTCCAGTGTAATATAATTATATGACAATGTCACCCATCAATGTTCTAGCTCTGCATTCATACAATTTGTTGTTGATCATTGCATTGCCTACTGTTTTATACATGAGCAGGAACTGTAATATAAAGTTTTGAAATAAGTGTTCTTGATTTTTTAAAGCTTTATAATTATCAGTAAGACTTAGAGCTAATGAAGTTGAACATATGCTTAACATATGCTGTATACAAATTTTAATACTAGTTTTTAAAAGCCATTGGCAAAAGAATTGATAATCATCAACCACAAGTATTCAATTTCTTTTTTATTTTTCATTTCCATTTATGCATTGCATATTTCCCTTTATACACTTACTAAAAAGTAATGATAAATGCTACATCATAATCATAGTTCAAACAAATGGCAACATTGCAACACATTGCATTTCACAACCTCAGTCAAAGGTTTTATGTTACCTTGCTAGCCTTTGAAGTCTGCCTGCTGAGGTATGCAAATGGTAGGGGCGGGGCTTCAAGTTTGGAACTCAGTTCTTAGAAAATTGAAGCATTCTTTTTGCAGGGGGAAACATTTTTTTGAAAATATTTCTTTGTGATAGTTGATACGTTAGACTGCAATTATACTCCTGTTTTTGGTCTTTTACATAAGAAGTAGCTTTGCTAAATGCAACGTGCATATGTATATTTTTGAGAAAGATTTTTATCTATAATTCTAAAGAATTGCCCAACCCCCTACTAGAAGTGAGCTCTGCCGATCGTGAGAACTGCATGTTTACGTATTTGACTTCATTGAGCGTTGGACTTTTTCCAGTGGTAAATTTTCATGTTTGTGGCAGGATTTTTGACTTTTTGAGAGTATTACAGTTTGTAATTGCTAGAATACATTGTTATGTGGTATTATTGTAACACATTCCCAAGAAAAAGATCGTTTTGAGCAAGGAGTTTTAAGTGAGATGTGTGTGCGCGATGCGTGAATAATGTTGCAAATTCCGCCAAATTTTCTATACATAACGCCCATTATAGTTCATATTTCCGACGCAATACGTGTTCCCAAATATGATTTACATGTAAAAGGGAGGTAATTTGTTGTTAGGCATGCCCTGCTTTTGAAACATTAGTAAACGCACCGTCCAAAATAAAACGTACCGGCGGACATTTTTAATTGTGCTGTCGGCTGGGAGAAGTGGTGTGCACTTTAGTCTTTTTTGTCATTTTACGTTCAGGACCGCAAATTTTACCGGAACTTTTCCGATTATGAAAAAAGAAATAAACGTACCGTCTAAAATAAGAACGCACCGGGTGCCGGTACGTTTATTCGAGAGGTGAGAGTAATAGCAATGTGTAAGAAAGAAGTACATGTTTTCAGAAGAGTTATATTGTGAGTTACTATGACAAGCACTCAGAGTACCTCACATTGGTATCAATTGTAAACAAGGTTCAAGTCTTGTAATAATATAACACTATACATAGAGACAGACTTTATTGAATATATAATATAGCTTGACTTCACAAGTGTGGTGTGTTGTGTCTTGTTGAATTGAGTCTTGAGTTGTATATCTGAAAGAGAACAACAACAAAATTGTGAGTAGGTTGGTATATACATATTGAACACTCCTTGGTAAAAGCACATGGCAAGTCTTCAAAATCTCTTACATAGGGAATGTCATTGTGCCATATGGGTGGGAAAATTCTGTGTTTTCAAGGCACATGCAACACAGACAGCGAAATTTCAACAACAACAACAATAATTCTAAGAACAACAACAACAACAATAATAATTTTAAGAATAGGAACAAAATAAAATGAACACAATATGATAGAAATACTCAATAGAAGAGGACCCTCAGAAGACATTAGGAGATTACTTAGCCTAGAAGTCCCACATCAGCACATTTGAATCAGAATTTTATCCTTCAGGCATCTAAAACTGCAGAAACAAGCCCCAAGATAAGTTCGTTATTTTCTGTGTGGTACCCTAAAAATCAATCCAAGTCCTTCCAAAAACCGTTATTCGTCAGAATTTTTCGCCTTTTTGCTCCATGAATGTCAATATACATTGGGACAGTGTTTTTTCAACTTAGTATGTAGATATGTGGCTAGACTATTGACTGAAAAATCTGGTTTCCAAGCCCTAATCAAGCTGATGATTGATGGTCAAGCCCTAAGCACCGGATGCCTTGACGATGTGTGGGCGGGACAAAAACACTTTACTCGTGGCCCATGGCAGACGTGCCACCCGTCACGTAAGCACGGGCGCCAGGCCTCACCTACCTTGGCGCTGGAAATATGCCGCGTACTGTTTTTGCCGTCAACGGTCTTTTGTGGCAACCTCTTCAGGTGATATATTTGAACAAAAACACAGGCATAAATAGCGTAATTCGTCACTTGTGGGCAGTTCAATGAGACCAAACGTACTGTCATATTGAGTTGTTTGTTGATGTAGCTTGCATATTAGAAAATGATATTCTGATACATAAAACAGAGCTGTATATATAACAAAATGTATAGTTTCACGATCTATATTATACCGAACTTTTATTTATATAAACAAGCCTAGCTATAGGCTAAAGGAACCACAATAGTCACGGATGCCTCAATTGAAGATGATCATAGAAATGCATTCTCTCCGATCTTATTTCAAAATAATTATTAGATCACTAAGCATGATGGCTACAGCTAATTTTGTTTTCGGATGCATACGACATTAGTGCTTTCCTTAGGCTTGTGAATTGTACAACAGAGAGTGGTGCAAAAATGCAATCCAGTTTTGATAAGAAAAATCCCTATATAGTCAAAGACAATATCATCTGTGCAATTAAAAAAAAACAAAAAAAGTGAGCTATATGAAAGCCACTAGAATATGAACTGTATATAAGAGTATCGCAAAAGAAAACATGTGCATTCCTAACGCAGTGTTATTGCGGCTTAGAAACACACAGTATCATTAACCCAAGTTTGCATGCAGAAACAGTCTACCAGACAACTAGACGACTATTTTTAGTCTGGTACTACTGCGCAGACGTGTACCTTATTAACAAATAGCCTCGAAGAAACCAGCTTAAAAACATCCACTGAAATTATCAATGTTTCATTACAAAAAGCATAGAAAGAAATTAAAACGTGTTGAAAACACCGAGACACTGAAAACAAGTTATTATGCCGAACCACCACAACAACAATATGGCGGCATGAATCCAAAACGTCGTCAGAAGTTCCGGTAAGGCCACGGAAAGTAATTTTTATGGATGACATCAGCGCGGGCACATTAAATTTCGCCTGATTTTTGGGAAAAAAAACAAGAAATGTTGTTGCCCTCTGACAGTGGTCAACATGCCGAAAATGGACAAAGATGTCTGTTGCCATGCCGGCTGGATGGCAGATAACTATAAAGAGAGGAGACAAGTAAAAGGCTCTGATTTAATTTTTTTTACTTTCCAGTGATATGTGATGATTTCGGTGGATATGTGGTGTCACCACTAAAATAAAAACCATTTGTACAATGATTGCGTCAAAATGTAGGAACCTTGTATTTTTTGCCCGCCTTGTTTTTTTCGCCCGCTCGCATTAGATTTGGAGTCTGTGNTGTTGCCCTCTGACAGTGGTCAACATGCCGAAAATGGACAAAGATGTCTGTTGCCATGCCGGCTGGATGGCAGATAACTATAAAGAGAGGAGACAAGAAAAGGCTCTGATTTTAATTTTTTTTTTACTTCCAGTGATATGTGATGATTTCGTTGGATATGTGGTGTCACCACTAAAATAAAAACCATTTGTACAATGATTGCGTCAAAATGTAGGAACCTTGTATTTTTTTGCCCGCCTTGTTTTTTTTCGCCCGCTCGCATTAGTATTTGGAGTCTGTGGGGGGGGGGGGTGGTCATGCATAGAATTTACCTGCTGTGGCCTAAGTAAGGCCTGCCTGGAGCCTATCATAAATCACGTGACGAGTGAACTTGGGTTGCTAAGTTTTGTTCTGAGGTACGTGGGTACAGACCACAGTCGCCTACAAAGTCAGACTGCCTGAGGTGTCGATCCCAACATGGCGCGGCGTAGCATGAGGTTGGTGGAGTACGGGAAGCCCTTCCAGCTAGCGGAGGAAGAGGTACCCACTCCACCGAAGGGCGGGGCTGTTGTCAAGGTACGTTTGATATAATGTCTTTACGATAGAAGTACAAAGAGAATATCTCTATGGCTATCGCACAAAAAACTTGTGTGCAGCTGTTAGCATTGAGAAACCACCGTTTGAAAAAAACACAACTTGATCACCAGCGAATATACAATTTTGTCTGGTCCAAACGAAACTCTTCGCAAATATGGTCGTGGGGTCGTGTTGCGTAGCGGCAGAGTACTCGACTCGGAACCAAGAGGTCCCGGGTTCGAGTCATGGCATGCCACCGACCTTGTGCCCTTGGAAAAGACACTTTACACGACTTTTTTCACTTCACACAGGTGAAAATGAGTATTGCATTGTCCCCTATGCTGGTTGCGGCATTGAGTTGAAAAAAAACTTGAGTGTGCCGTCACCACGTCTTGTGATTATATGTTGGAATAAAAAAAAAAACTGCAAGTATAGCTTGCAGATACGTTTAGACAGGCTTTTGTACAGGAAACCTTTACAGTGAATTCTGAAATACGTTACAAATTTGATTCCTTTTTGTCATATATTAATTTTCTTACAAAGAGCTGACGGGGCAATAAGGCCTAAGAGATGCAGTCAACGTCCTTTAGTACGCTTTTAAAGTCAATCGAAGGTCGCTTTTGAAGGTCAATCGAAGGTCGGCGCCGTGGGGGCAGCGAGCAATTCTTAGCCAAACCTGTAAATATAACAAATCACAAAACAGGGAAGGGGTGCTGTTAAGGTCAAGCCGGGATTGTTTTTAATCAAAATGCTATTTCTGTTGTTTAATGACTGTAGTGTATGATATTACATTGCATTGTATTGCATTGTATTGTACTGTATTGTATTGTATTGTATTGCATTGGATATTATGGTATGGTATTGCATTGCATTGTATTGTATTGTAAATACTGTATTGTATTGCATTATATTGTATGTATGAGAAAACCAAGATGGCGGACATGAGAGGACGCGCGTCGTATGTGCTCCGTATGTAATTGAACTTCAAGAGCGGTTGCTCGTGTTATATAGAGTGCTTATACAGCTTATATTGTTTATAATACTCGGTTCATATACTCAGTTTGAAGTTAATCTCTGAGTTCAACATTGAACGTGAAAAAGACGGAGGAGAAAGTGAATCCGTGCCGGTGACAACAAAGAAGTACAGGAGCAGATCCGGGAACTCCACCAAGCCGTGGAATACACCAGCGAAGAACATCCGTGAGTTCGAAGTACTTTCCGAAGACTACGCAGACAGTGACAGAACGAAGGTATGTAACCTCAAGTGTCGCACCTCACCGGATCGCATTCCTTTGTGGATAAACGCCACTAAAGCCTACTTAGACGAAGAGCTTGAAAAACAAACAGGATACAAGTTCACCTGGAACGACAAGAACTGTCAGCTCATTATCACAGATCCTGCAAAGTCCGGAGAAAGCATCAAGGTAGTGAACATTCACTTCTACAAGTCGGGAACAATCCTGGTACACGGCAAGGGTTCAAAATGGTACGCCGAGAACATTTTCCCAAAAGTGAAAGTCACGGTTAATAACCCAGCAAGCTCATCCCAGAATCAAGATGGCGGACAAACTGCTGATCAATTGACAGTGAATGAAGTCGGAACAAAAGACAACAACCCAGAGACAATAGAGGACATCTCAGACCATGGCAAGTCCGCCATGATGGCGTCTGACACTGAACTCGACCAGACCACGCCTACTAAATTTGGTGCCACAGACTTGACTTCAGAGAAAGAAAACAGAACGGAATATACTACTCCAAAGTCTGTTACATCTCCGTTTATCCGCAAAGTGTTCGGAGGTCTTGAAAATATCATCTTGAGTCCCTTCACAAAGATGAGAGAATCTACCGGAAAAAGCAGAGAAGAGAAGTAACGACAGACAAACCGATCGCGACGCGATATTCTTGCCGACAACTCCCTCCCCGAAAAGAGTGCTGATTCTAATAGCGAAACTTTGTACACTACTTTGGTGGACGAACTGAATGAACTGAAAACTCTAGTCTTCAATAACAAAGTAGCGATGGATAAGCAGGGACAGCAAGTCGCCGATCTACAAGCTAATCTCCAAAATAAAACGAAGAAGATCGAGAAACAGGCCAAGCAGATCGAAAATCTGATGACCGAACTCCAACACCAGCGTGAATTCTCTAAAGACTTATTAGACAAACTCTCTTCGAAGTGTACATGTGCATGTGCTACTCGGGGAGATGAACGGAGAATTCAACGGCTATATTCAGAAATCGTAAGCTCAGCAGCTCAGAACGACACCTATGCGCCCAACACATGTACACAGACATCAGCAACCTCCGACAAACAGGGCGATGCTGTGTCCGGCATGAAGACTCCGGAAGCCCCCCGTGACAAACAGACCCCGTCAGCCTCCCGTTCACAGGCCCCAGCGCCCACCAGCACCGACACACGGATCCAGGCAGTCACCGGTATACAGGACCCGGCAACCTCCGCCATACAGGCTCCGACAGACCCCGGCAAGCAGCCCCCGGCAGCCTCCAGCCCCGACTCACGCGCCCAGGCAGTCCCCTGTGCACAGTCCCCGACCCACGGCACACGGGCCCGACAAACCCCGGCGCACAGGCTACGACAACCCCAGGCACACAGGCCTTGGTAACCTATCCAGCACAGAAAGAGAAGAAACAGATCAGAATATTTGCCGACTTGCTTTGGAATGGCGTTGATACAAACAGAATGTTTAAAACAAAAGTTCGAGCATCGTCAAGTCCAGCACAGTAAGGAAAGCCTCTGAGAACGTCAACTCGTCCCCTGACAACACGACGGAGCTGGTCATCTTTCATGTCGGCTCAAACGACATGGACAACACAAGAGCACGATCAGACAGTGTGAAGATTTGTACAGAGGAAACTCGCAAATTGATCAACAATACAAAAAAAATCATTCCCAAATGCAACAATAGCAATGTCTCAAGTCCTCCCAAGAGGGATGCATATGGATTCCACACTCAACAAGAACATTGCCATGTACAACGATAACGTCGAGAAACTATGTCTGGAAGATGACCGACTATTCTACATCAGGCATCGGCTGTTGTCACAGGAACGGTCGCTGTACAAACCAGACAGGATCCACATCACCCCTGACGCTGGCGTGAGTCTGTTAGTGGCTGACGTGAAGCGCACGCTGCGCCATCACGAGCAGTCCGTCACCGACACGAGCAGACAACACTCGAGCCGCAGCGGGCAGCAGACCAGACCACTCAGGAAAACATCGAGGGAAAACACCGTGACCTACATGCAGTCCGACCGGTACGCTCCCCCGAGCCGCTTCTCACAAGCCCATCGGAATCCGGCACCGTTGCTCCCGTGGAACCAGTCACCCCCAGCTCCTCAGCGAAGATCCCACTGGAACGAACGGCAGGGGTCGAGATGGAGTGAGGCACAGGACAAGCGCCATGCAATAGAAACGCTGATGAACATGATGAAAGACTTCCTTAGTCATTGAACGGACACTTGAAGGAGACGGTCACTGACAGTAACAGTAAATGGACAAGAAGAGGTTACTGAGGTAACGTGTTCATCTCTTTATGTATACAACATAATAGTGCCTAAATGATTAACCATAAACCATAAACCCTGTCTGTATTAGTATAATTCATACAGGTACCTGTAGGTGTGATACATTTTATATGAAACATTCGATTAAGCTGTATCAACTCACTTGACACACAATGCAACCACGCTCTTATTGTTTAATTTCTCATATTCGCTGTTTTGACTCGACAATGTCTGCTCAAAGAGTAGCACTTAGATTCTGCTCTTGGAACGTTCAAGGTGGTCTTCGGAGGAAATGTTTAGATGTAGAGTTTGTTTCTAGTTTAGAAAATTATGATTTTATTTGCCTCCAAGAGACTTGGCTTAAACCAGGGGATAATTGTAGTATAGAATCCTTTAGTTACTTTAGGAGTGATAGAGACGCCAAAAAGACCGCCAAACGAAATTCCGGCGGAGTAGTTATAATGTTTAGAAACAAATTTACCAAAGGTATTACAAAATTGCCATCAAGACACCCGGACTTTCTTTGGTGTAAGTTAGACAAGGCATTCTTCGGCCTAGAACAGGACCTATTTGTCGGGTGTATGTACTTTTCTCCGGAAAACTCGTCGTCCCTAGAAAACAAAAACAACTCCCTATTTGATATACTACAAGAAGACATATGTAAATTTTCCAACCAGGGAAATGTAATGCTGCTGGGTGATTTAAACGCCAAAACAGCGTCCCTACAAGAAACAATCATTCACGATGACAGCCTGAATCACGACAAAATAGACTTATTAGAAAACATACCTCCCAGGTCGAGCTGTGACAAAGGGGTAAATAAATATGGAAATAATCTAATTGATCTCTGTTCAGCAGCCAACATGGTTATTCTAAATTGACGGGTCCCAGGAGACCTATCCGGTAAATTTACCTGTCACAAGTATAACGGATCGAGTGTGGTTGACTACTTCATTGTTAGCACTGAATTCCTTCCAAAAGTCCAATATTTTAAAGTGAACGATCTTTCAGTGTTCTCAGACCATTGTTTGCTAACTTGCTCAATTTTCGCAAATTATTCACCGTATATCAAACAAATTCAAACCCCAGCACGTCCTCTACCAACTAAGTATATCTGGGATGATCACTCAAAAGCGAAGTTCTCAGAAACTCTCCAAGATCCATTGACAGTAAATGACATACAAAATTTTATGGATAAATCGTTCTGCAATGTAAACAGTGCTGTAAAGGAATTTGCCGGTATAATCACAGATGTGGCCGACAAATCCCTACGAAAAATCACTCCCAGAAACAATAGGAAAAAGAAAAAGAAATGCAAACCATGGTATACCTTAGAATGCACCTCTTTGAAACGCAAAATCAATAACTTAGCTTCCCAGTTCTCAAAATGCCCATGGAGATTAGATATACGCCATTCATACTTCTGCAATCTAAAGGTTTACAAGAAGAAAATCAAAACAGAAAAGAAGCTTTACAAAGAAAGGCAATGGCACAAATTAAGTAAGCTCAGTAAAGAAAACCCTCAAAAATTCTGGAGAGAATTGAAGATACATAAGCACGTGCACGAGGAAGGTGATAAACAGAACGTGGATGAAAATATTAGCCCCGAAGAGTGGAGAACACATTTCAAAAATCTAAACGATCTCATTGAAAGTAATGAATCAGATAAAGATTTCCACCGACATGTCTCACACGTAAACCCGGAGCTTTTCCAGACGACAAACAAAACTACCGATACACATGCTTCCAATAATGAACCGACAGACAACATTACAGACAACATTATACGCACGTTAGAGAACGCGACGGAAAAACCTCTAGACTTTGACATCTCACTTGAAGAAATTTTAGAGGGATTGAGCAAACCGAGACGCAACAAAGCGTGTAGAACAAATGCCGTCATAAATGAAATGTTAAAATATAACAGTACACAACTTATATCTCCACTAAGGAAACTCTTTAATATTGTTTTGAACTCTGGAAACTTCCCACACCAATGGAGCCAAAGTATTCTCGTACCTATCCACAAAAGTGGTAATTTATCGAACTCCTCAAATTATAGAGGAATTGCCATTTCTAGCTGTATTGGAAAACTATTTACACTAATTCTGAGCAATCGTTTACAGCAACTTCTAGAAAATGATAACATACTGTCCCCTTTTCAATCTGGATTTCAAAAAGACTTTCGGACCAGTGATAATATCTTTGTATTGAAAACGCTTATTGATAAACAGCTATCTATACCCGGAGGAAAGCTATATACATGCTTTGTAGACTTCAAAAAAGCATTTGATTCTGTGTGGAGAAATGGCTTATTCTATAAAATCTTGTTATCAGGTATAGGTGGCAACTTCTTCAAAATTATTCAATCAATGTACAGTAACATAGAATGTTGTGTGAAAACAGGTAATGGCCTGTCAGAATATTTTAAATCATCATGCGGCGTGCGACAAGGTTGCAACTTAAGTCCACTCCTTTTCAACCTGTTTGTTAACGACCTTCCAGATAAATTAGCTTCACCATTGTGCGATCCTGTATTCTTAAAAGATACCCCCATCAACAGTCTCCTCTGGGCAGATGACCTCGTACTCATTTCACAATCCGAAGCAGGGCTAAAACAATGTCTAGAAAGGCTAGACGAATTTTGTTCCACTTGGAAACTATCAACTAATAAAGGGAAAACAAAAGTCATGATATTTTTAAAAAACGGGCGAGCCAATAATAATAGACGCTCCCCCTTTCAATCACAAGGACAGACTATAAGCTTCACAAACTTTTACACATATTTAGGAGTAGACATAACACCATCAGGGTCATTCAATCGTGCTAATAAACAACTTAGAGTTAAAGCAATGAGGGCTTCCTTTAAACTTAAAACATTGTTGGCATCAAATCACAATCCGTCAATCTCTCTCGCCCTGGACCTATTCAATAGCCTCGTCAAACCTATATTACTGTATTGCGGGGAAATACTGGGGACAAACGCTCAAAGCAAAGAGATTATTCTCAGGGGAATCAAGGAATCTCAAAATGAAAATATTAGAGAATTAGTATCCAACACCCTTTTCCGTATATTAGGACCAGATGTAAACACGTATATAATTAGGTCGATTCGTGTAGGAAAGAAATCTGATACATCGACCGCCCGTCCTGTGCTTGTTCGACTTAGAAAATATACGGATAAAATCAATGTTATATATCAATCAAGTGTACTTAGAGATCAAAATATTATAGTAGAGCAACCCAATATTTGTTATGAAATTCCCGATTTAGAACATGTATTGCTCAACTACTGTAAAATATTACTTCGTGTGCCCAGAAACTCTGTTAATGCTGCTGTAATGGGCGAGCTAGGTATTTTCCCATTGTACATAGACACTCAAACGAGACTGATTAAGTACTGGTTAAGATTAAATAACATGTGTAATGATAGAATTGTTAAGAAAGCTTACGATACTGCTGTTGTACAAGAACACGATTGGGCTTCCCATGTACAAGATATATTATGCAGACATGGTTTTCAAAATATTTGGCTTAACTGTAATGTAGACGCCAACTATTTTGGAAACTTGTTTAAGGAACGACTCAAGGACACATTTCTTTCCAACTGGAGACAACAGATAAGGAGCTTCAGTAAACTTGAGACATACTCCAAAGTCAAGAAAACCTTTTCCATGGAGAATTACCTCTCGGTGATCCGAAACAAATCCTTTACATCTAGTATTACAAAACTGAGAATTAGTGCACATTCCCTAGAAATTGAGAAGGGTCGTCACAAAAAGATACCAGCCGAGAAAAGAATGTGTCCTGCCTGCAAAGACAAAGTTGAAGATGAGTACCATTTTGTAATGATATGTCCCTACTATAACGAAGAAAGGAAAAAACTAATGATATCATGTAAAAATAGAATAACACTACCTGGGACAAGTAGAGAAATTTTCAACATATTGTTATCATGTCCCGACTCTGTATCTGTTTATATGGGCCAATATTTACATACTGCTATACAAAAGAGAAACCTTGTCACTGCAATGTGAAATGTAACATTCCATTATTAAAACATGTATACAAGCATTGAAATTAGATTAGTACAATAGTAGAAATAGTTTATAGTTATTAAGTTTTACTTGCCATACATTGTATCAAATGCAATTGTTGTGCAATAAACTTGACTTGACTTGACTTGTATTGTAAATACTGTATTATATTGTATTGTAAATAGTACTAAATACTGTATTGTATTGTATTATATTGTATTGTAAATACTGTATTGTATTGTAAATAGTACTAAATACTGTATTGTATTGTTATGAGTTCACCACACCACGAAGTGGTGGTGAACCCATATTGCTTTTTCTGATGTTTCTTCTTCTCCTCCTTCTTCTTCTCCTGCCATTTTTTAAATGGATTCAGCTTCTTCATTTTAGGGCCTAAGGTCCTGAAATTTGGTATGGAGGTACAGTGGGCAAATACCCCTAGGCGTTTTTTAAATTTTTGTGATACAGGCTTTTAGAATGGTTTTATTAGAGTTTTTTGGCTGTGTTATAGCAAATGTATTACTGTGTTAGTGTGCCTTGTTTACCACGTCTGGGCATGAGTCATCACAATGGAATGCAGGGCATCAACCAATAGGCATGCAGCTTTCCTCTATACTTCTTGCTGATTGGCTGTTGGGATTTAACTTGATTAACACCTGCACAGAGCATGGCTGTTGGGATTTAACTTGATTAACACCTGCACAGAGTATTTCCATACAGACAGTATGTCTGTATTCAAGTGTTTTGGTAGGTATTTCAAGCTTTCCTGCTCCAGCATTGGAATGCGGGGCATGAACGTTATTTTATTTTGAAAATCAACAGTTTGCAACTAAATGCAATTAAAAATCCTAACCAATAAAGTAGGGAATAGCTCTCCAACTGTTGTTTTAGTTGTATGTTACTTCATATTATAGTTATATCAATGTAAATCATTGTTTTCCCTTGTGTTTCTCATTCTTTCCCTGCCATGTCGTAAAATGTGGTGAACCCATCGCTGTATTTGCTCCAAAGCAAATATTGGCCTTTCTAATATTATATTGTATTGTAAATACTGTATTGTATTGTATTGTATTGTGCAACATACATACATTGTATATTTTCGTTAGACCAGTGGTAGGCCCTCGGTCCCATCGAGATTGAATATTCGAATGAAGTCTCAAAGTCTCCCATTTCACTACATGGTATCTGTCAACACACATTCGTAACAACAATTTTCGGACGTGGATTGGGTGTAACGGCTGCCATACATGCATTGAAATAAAGGAATGGCGATGGAGAGCTCCTATAGCCTCAAAAAGAGCCCTCCCGGGCTACCCCTAATCCACGATAGACTGGATACCAGGCTATGTGCACGTAATTTTGCACTCATGATAGTAGTCGCGATGTAACCATGTAACTAGTTAGGCCACACCAATTAAATTTTATTGGATGACGTCCACGCGCGCATTGATTTTGGCCTGTTCCTAGAAAGAAAAACCAAGAAATTCCGCTTCCCGTAAGTATGACCAAAGAGTCACGACAGTGCCGCAAATCACCAGATTGATGTGAAACCCTTAACGCGAAGAAAGTGTCTATTGACAGGACCATCCTGCCAATAACAGAAAATTTGCACTATTGACAGGACCATCCTGTCAATAACAGAACATTTGCACTATTGACAGGACCATCCTGTCAATAACAGAACATTTTCACTGTCCACTGTTCCACCTGATTTATTGCCTTTTTGATGATGAATAAAAGACTTCTTGCTTGTTACACTGTCACCTCATTCAATTTGTGTCCTAACATTTGTTGTCTCTTAGTATATTTCTTATCTAGGCATCTTGTTTTTTAGGGCCCTTCTTGTTTTTTTTTCGCCCTCTCGCATTAGATTTAGGGTCTCCAAAGGACGTCATCCATAAAATTTACTTGGTGTGGCCTAAACTCTAAAACCAGTTTACTATTCCCCGTAATTAGATAAAATCAAATTGAGCAGTCAAATATCATGACCCCTGCCATACATTTATCATACTATGCCGCAGTAAACTAACAAGTTTATTCTAATTTTTCAGGGAAAGAAGAAAGTCAGTGGATATCCACAGAAGTACCAGTTGCTCCCTAGCACGACAGAAATTACGTTTAGCTTTGCCGAAACAGAAAACACATGTACATAAACTTTAGAAATAGTCTCTCTATGAATCTATTCTACATCGTATAATACTAATACCTGTTGTGGTGTCTCACTGGTCAGCCTCATGCCGCTTTAAGGGCTCAGTATGTCTTTCATTTTTGCAGCAAAGTAATAAATGAGTAAGGCAAGCGACTCTGTGTCTACATTTTGTCTTGATTTGGATTTTGAATAGATTAAATTTTCAAAATCAACTTCACAGCCCGGTGTCAGCCGCTTTAAAATTTGTTTAAATTTGGCGCCGGACGCCACCTGCGGCTGTGATGGTACTGCAGCTTGGTTGTCATAGTTTTGTTTACTCAGTCTTTGGGTATGTATGCACCCGGATGTGAATATGTCGGCATATATAGAAAATGGTACTGGCCAACGCTTGTGTTATTGTGACGATGCATGTAAGAAACCACAAACACTGGCACTCCTTTTCTGGTTTATTTATAAACGTCTATTGACTGTTAATTCTCCTGTGGGACCCATATATATATATGGTTGCACATACAGTACCATCTATATAGTGCCCTGTATATGTACGATTTAGGGGTGTTTCTCATGCAACGCATATCAAACCGCAGCGAAACGCAACGAATGCGGAAGTAACTACGCCACCGCAGGGCAAAAAAAGTCAAGGGTCTGTAAACCTGATTAAGACTTCAAATTATTTTAAAATATTCTGTAAAAAGCCCAGGAGGACAAGCGTTAAGAACTTTCATATTAAAAGCTAGGTAAAGACAGTGTCGAAAATCAAACCCTACTCCCTGCTTGACCTTGAGCCAGGTGCATTGACCCTCACAAAGTTTCTTTCGGGGTGTGAGGCGGGCTAGGTACAGCCGTTGATTTCACCTAAAGTACAACAATGGACCTTTTCTGGTTGTCCAGCACAGTTATCAGTTTAACTTATGTTAACATGACCAGTTCGACCATGTCGGTGAAATGGCTGTATTTTTTTATCTTTTGACCGAGATATGCGGGATTATAAGAAAGGTCCACTTTGCTATATTTAACAGTGAAGAAATAGACTTTGTGTAGAAAATAAGATAGAGAACTGAAGAAAATAATGAT